CTTGTCTCATCGCAGACTGGAAGGACATATTCATCGTTGTGTCATCGTCCGTGAAATACGATTCATTGGATTCATCTGAGACCATTGGAGTTGCCCAAAGGTCATCGTCTGCCGTTTGATCATTCAGTGAAAGGTCATCCAGTCTCAGTTCAGCCAGTTCTCCTTTGGTGACCTTTGTGTTTCCAATATCCATTTGAGCCAGGTTTACATTCTTATCCTGCTCATCAATTCCGACAGTGGTAGCATCCAACTGTGATGCTCCGACTGCTTCCACTTCCTTTTTTGTGGTTCCATCCTCCCCAGTGACCTTTGTCTGGTTCATCGGTTCACTTCCCGTCGCAGACGCGGGAGTGTGCTTCTGGTCGTCACTGGAACTCTCCTGGTTGGCGACCGCCTCGAGCGCCTTCTGATAAGTGCTATCAGAGCCTCGCGAATCCTTCTTCTCGAATGCTTTGGGCGCTCGAGTGTTCCGCTCATGTCCGACTGGACGTGAGTATGTGTGCAAGTCTTTTTTGTACGGGTTTGGTGCGCCTTGCTGTGAGCTGCGGGAGCTTGTGCTTCCCTGGCTGCCAGTAGATGTTGGCTGTTCGTTGTCTTTGTCCATGTTGATCGGATAACTTGGACGCCCCTGTCAATTGTTCTCACGCACACGTTATTGTATGGTTTATTCACTTGTCCTAAAGGTCACTTTGTACTTCGAAATTTTTCTAAGTCCCTGTTAAAGGTCACTTTTCGGTTGAAAAAATTCGACTAAGTCCCGTTTAAAGGTCACTTTTCCGATAAAAAGTTCGAGAGATTTGCCCTAAAGGTCACTTTTCGGACAAAACTTCGAGAGCGTTTTTCACAGTTCAGAACACGTTTACGAATGAAATCCTACAGCTGCTGATGTCGCTGTACTACTAATCAACTCAATTTCAGCTTCGTTAAAAGGTCACTTTTGGTCAATTTCAGGTCTTAAAGGTCACCTTTACGTTTAATTTATTCGGTTCCAACTTTTTAGTAAAGGTCACTTTCCAAAGTCAAAGGTCACTTTCTGGTCTTAAAGGTCACTTTCAAACTCAATTTAGCTCAAAGGTCACTTTCGTACTCAATTTCTGTCAAAAAGGTCACTTTCCGACCTAATTTTAATCAAAGGTCATCTTTCCTTTGTCTCAACTTAAAGGTCACTTTCCAGCTCAATTTTATCAAAGGTCACTTTTCCTTTCAAATATCTCTTCTCGATTCAGATTTCTCGTTACTGTTCAAGTTCAACGGAAAATCCCCATTCAAGTTGTTTACTTCGTTCCTATTGGTCCGCTAGCTCAAAATGTTCAGTTCAAATTTCGACCAATCGGAGCTCAGATAACTGACCAATCACGTTAATCCGTTTAAATTTTATATAAGCCTGACGTCACGGTCAACGGCCAGACGTGCGTGCCGTGCGCAAAACTCCGCCTACGTCTATGCTCAGCTCAGTACGGACCAATGAAAATTAAAAATTTCACCGTCTATCCAATCCCGTAATTAATAACGGTTTTCTACCTGTTTCACCGTCCGTTCCGCGGGGAAATGATCCAAATGATCCAGATTCTTCTTCCACAGTCCGTTCCCGCGTCGCCGCTGTTCCGTAGCGTGCCTCGCGCTATCAGTCTACTACTGTGCCGGCTGTGCCGTAGCAACAGTAATGCTCTACTCCAGTTTGGAGGAGTCTGATCCGGTCTTTTCCCGTGCGCCCCTTTTGGCACTTCGCCGCCTGTGGCCCACGGCTTAGGATTCGCTGAATCCTTGCCGAGTAACAGTGACACCAGCACGGGTCTTCGCTGAAGACTCCGTACCGAGGAACACTGCCGACTGAACTCTTGTGCTCTTGCACAGACCTTGCAACAGTACAGGTCTTCGCTGAAGACTCTGCACCGAAAACAAGGCTGGAAATCCGATGAGGAACTTGCACCGCTTGTGGTGTTGCGCTTTGCTGTTGGACAGACCTGTGCCTTACTGGTCACGGATATCACGTCGGATAACAGGCCAATTTTGCCTGACACAATTCGAATCATTAAAATCGCTTCAGTCAAGAGAACCGCTGTCGGCTCTGCTACCATCTAATGCTAGATCCAGAATGGATCCAGAGACAGAGACAGAAACGGGATCTATCCTGTGGAGTGAGCGAAACGATAGGGTTCGCGAACTATGCGGAAACACAAAACGTCGCACCGTAATCGCTAACTTTTTAATAATATCGAAAGTCTGGAGCCCAGAAATCAACATACTGATCGGCGCAGCTCGATCGTGAAAACGTAGAGCCAATTCCACACTGTGCAACACTGTGCAACACGTGCTATACCGCGCCCACTAATAAAGCGCGAGCCAATCAGAAGCGAGACACAACACAGACCGTAATCCATGGCGTAGCGCCTAGCGCGCCACAGGCGTGAACGCTAGTGAGCCCTCGTCTCACACGCCGCATTCAGCATTCGCCGGAATGGCGGCAACGCTGCTACGGAGGTCATGGTTCTCTGATCCCGTCGTAAACTTCGCACCTTGTAGTTTGTACGGGTCGTGGGTCGATCAGCACCCGAAGGGACTTATTTTCTGTGAAGAAAAAATTCGCTAACCCAAGCACTGGTAAAAACTACTATCACTCTACTATCTACTATCTACTATCACTCAAAATGTTTATGGCTTCAGTACAATGCTGCTCTAGAGAAGAAAAAAGTCAAATCCGCATCACATTGCAACAATGTGGTTACGTAAGCGAATCTCTTTGGACGCGATATCCTCGTTCGAACAGTGCAGTCATGAGAGGCCGCAGAGTCTCATCACGGCGACACTAAGATCCGCGATAACAGTATCTAATTGTGGCCAGCTTGCAGACGGCATCATTTATTGGAAAAGATGCTTTATTCAGCCTGCGTATTGCTAGACTGGCCGCTGCTGACTACACAACTCGCAAAAAATCTGCCGATTGCGGGAATCGAACCCGCAGCCTCTACACTCTAAGGCCGAGAGAGGCACCACTAGGCTATGGCATAACTGCAGAATATCGTAAGATATTCTCAGTTACAACCGGCAAAATAACGAACAGAGCCTCGCTCCTAACAGTATGGTCAAAGCCACCAGAATAGACCAAGCCAAGAAACGAGATAAGATCAGGAACGCCTACTCCGCTGAGCTAGCATACGAGTCTACGGAGAAACAGTTGAAAAAAGTCGTATATAAACGATAACAATTCATGCTGCAAGATATTCAAAATTTTGTAAGGGTAACCCTCCGTAGTATAACGTGTTTGAATATTTGGTACAATGACCGTATGAATCATCTTAGCTTACAAATTTTTATCAATTTCTGAGTCGAATTTACATTCATTACGGTGCGTACCCGCATGACCTCGATTTACAAAGACAATACCACGGAATGAATGGGATGAATAGAATGTTTCCCGAATCATACGCTATCACTATCCTGGTTCATTTATAATTTTTTTAAAGGGTTGCATCGGTTTCGCCACTATGTTTTGTTATCACTCTTACAGCAAACGCATCCACCTAACTTGCATCAGGAATTACTTACTGAATAAATTACACAAACTATCAAAGGACGTTGGTCTGCGTTCCCTTCTAATCAGCGGAGCTGGCGGGGCTACGTGACCCACTTACTTGTTAGATGGTCGTTTCTTAGCTTGGTCTATTCTAATGGCTTTGGTATGGTGGACAGCGTCACTAAAATGGGTACGAATAAAACCTGGGATTGGGAATTGGGATTTGGTATTGGGAATTGATACTGGGAATGGGATTGGTATTGGGATTGCGTTTTATTTATGGGAATGGTATTTTATTATGGAAACTGAAAATACTACGTACAGTGTTACATAATAAGGTAGTTATACTCGTAGTTACAACTTGTAACTAAGTAAGTACTTGGAGATATGGACCCGTGTGTATTGAGTGGACTGTCGATGATCTCAGCAGTCTCGAAGTTAGGAAACTGAACAAGCAATGTCTATATTGTGTGGTCTTGGGCCCTTGGCTATATATGGAACGTTTCGTACGAGTACTAAAGAAAAAAATTGGAACGTTTTTTTCCTTCTTGTAGTCACTGTAGTCATCTGTAGGTGTATAGACACCCTGTAGACAACATGTATACATCCTAAGAAAGCCTAAAAATACAGGTGACTACAGTATGTCTACAGTGGTGTCTACAGGCTGTCTACAGATGACTACCGGTGTATACAGGCTGAGTATCGAGCTGAACCTAAGAAGGGCTGCCCGTATACAGCGGCAGACATCTGTAGACAACCTGTAGACACCGTTGTAGACACGCAGTATACATCCTAAGAAACCAGGTGACTACCGATAGGGCTACGGGGTGTCTACAGCCTGTATACAGATGTCTCCTGTGACTACAAGGAGAGGAAAAACGATTCACTTTTTTTCTTTGGTACGAAACGTGCCACAGGTGTCTTGGCGCATCGACTACTATCGCCATATTTCAACCCACGCTCGTATGTAAAGTTCAGCTGGAAGCCAGTACAGGGATTCAGATGGAACAGAAATATGCTGCTGGAAGCTAGTAAAGCCATCACCGACAGAGGCCAGATCTGTCGGCTTGTCAGCAACTTTTCGATTACTTGAGCAGAACATATTAACTTTTTGAGAACTAAAACCATCCTGTTCCACGACAAAACAAACTCGCCCAAAAACTTGTGCACCTTTAAGTTTTGGGTGACTAATTACTGCAATAAATAATCATGAATTTTCTATCGAACTGTGGTGCGTGCCGCTGCTACCAGTACGAAAACTACAACCAAAATACGGTAATTATAAGTGTTTCCGTTTGCAACTTCCAAAAACGTTTGCTGTCTTTTACCTTATAGATTCTGTTTATACTTTATTGTTATGTGTACTTCCGCACATGAGAATGGAGTCCGTGTGAAGATATTTATTTTTGACTACTGTACTTACTGTCGAGTATCGTGAAGGTAGAAACGTTCTCAATCTGTGGCATGGTGAACGTTCCACATAATGCAATCAGTACAATGACAGAACACAATCAGTCGGACATTGCTTTCGAACGTTTTCTTCACCGTTCAATGCGTTTTCAAATCAACCGTTTGCTTGAACGATGCAGCAAAATCAACAGCGCTAAGGAAATTTCGGCAAAACAACGTCAACACACAGACACTTTTTCGCTGCCGCGGAGAACCTCCTGGATACTAGCAATTAGCTTGCATAGTAACTGGCAACCAGCGTAGGCTTCCTGAACATCCTTGCACTGGGCGCCGAACAACACATCCAAGATATTCCTGGCTTCTTCAGAATATTCTCTAACGCGCACACCCACGTCCTTCACTAACCCTTCCAACTCTTTCTTCGCCGGCCCAGACAGACGATCCATTCCGGGATTCGGCAATCGTTTGTGAAGCGCCACGATGGCGGACTGTCCCGCCGACATGAGTATGCGAGCACGGAACACTGCATACTTCGGGTATACCTTCCTGCAGACAACAACCAGAATCTACGGTAAAATAAATTAAATCACGGTTGCTGATTGCCGATACTGTAGCGGCTTCTTCACGCAGTGATAACTGGCTAACTTAGAATCAGTAACTTATCTATATTTAGGCCTTGTCCCGAATTCGAAGCGAATCTTGTTGCGTTACAGCAACTCCACCTCGCGAGGTGGCTTCGCGTACCGTATCTGTAGGCGTGGCCACTGCATTAGCCACCTCGTGCGGTTGAGCAACCATACCAAAGCTAGATTCGCTTCGAATTCGAGACGAGGCCTATGAGCGTACAAGTACTATTTCCAGAGATGATCAGTGAGTGTAACGTTCAAGCGCTTTGTATACACTGGCGTGAAAACCGTTTGTGCGCGCAACATCCGGTTCGGGAGCTATGACTGTTGGAAAAAGTTTAAATGCGTTTGGGTGTACCAAAATTCTCATTATTGACTGATTATTGATTTTGCACGTAAATGCAAATGGCCATGAAAACGGTATTACACCGATCCACTGTTTTAGAATGCTTTTTAAATTTTAAAATCTGAAAAAAATCATGGAAGTCTGGAACGGTGTAAAAACGATCTTCATACTTACGTGCATTTCGTGCAAAATCGGAAGGAGATCCGCGGATAATGAGACTTTCGGTACACCTGAACGCATTTAAACTTTTTGGAATTTTCTAACAGCCAACTCCCGAACCGGATGTTGCGCGCATAAACGGTTTTCTACAGAATGTCATAAACCCAAACAACAATGCGTTTAGGAGTTTAAGCACATGTACACGAATTTAGTACCATATACCTAGCCACGTCCCGAAAGTTACCAACGGTCAGCTTACCGCAGGCACTCAACCAGTTCCTGTGCCATATTCCAGCCATCTTCGAAGCGGTTCTCAGCATAGTATTTAAGCGGTAACTCCCAGCCGCTGGATAAGATATAACGGAAATGCGCAGTCGGTTGCATGATTCCGGCAGCGTCCATCTGCTGGCAGAGCTGCGCAGCCATGACTGGTTGGAACTGGGTAGTGCCTCGTTGCACGATGATTGGGTAGCGCGTCGTAATGGCCTTATGCTGTCGGATGAACTGACTAAACTGCGCTAACCGGGTGCTGTTGATGGCCCCGCATTCGGAGCAGGGCTGATGTGCACGGCTGTCGCTGGGAATCGGGTTCAAGCACCCCGGTGTCACGCAGCGTAATGGGTTAATCTCTGCGTCCTGAAAGAAACCATACAGTGACATTAAAATTACCTACTCGACTGCTTACAAATGAAAAGATACAGCTAAAATTTGGTTAAAGCGTACGTATTCAGGTGTGCATCGGCGACATGTACACGGATACCCATAGCGCTTCTCGAAGTCAGCACGACGTTCCGCTCGTGTCTGGGAGAATGGATCCAGGGCGTCGTTGTACCGCAACTGCAAGACGTGTGATTATTACATGGCAGTGATACAAGTAGCATTACCGCGCAAATCTCCAACCTTAAACGTTGAAACAAGAAAACAAGCGGAACGACTTTCACCCATTCTATTCTTAACACTCGCACAATTTCTACTGCCGCTCAGGCGCAATAAATGCTTAAAAAACCGAAAACAAATTCTGTAGTTGTGCCACGCTCTCTAGCCTTACATGTATTCCTAGAGAATTTGATAAGCTATCAAACTAGATAAAATTTTAGGAAAGCAGACCATCTGTGTTAATTTTGGCCAACAAAAACGGGAACACTCCCGAACCGGAAGTGACACACGTTTTCCCTGTTTACGCTCGACCAGATTTTTTGTTTTCAAATTGGACAACGTACGTTGCTAGATCCTGTCATTCAGCATATTTTAATACCATTTGACATTTAGGGAAAATTGTTTTGTTGATACGAGAAGAAAAGTTTGTGACACGGGAGACTGTAAAAATCGCTCTGTCCGTGATTCTACCGTCTCCCTCGGACTGGCTTTGTAGCAGACTGCGCTAATTTAATCTTACCAATATTTTATTTGCTGATTATTTAGGTGGTTGAGGCATGATTGTTATTCGATAGTTTTCTTTGCTTTTCATTATTGATAATGTGTTTCCCTCCAGAAAATAATCTAAAATGTTAAAATATCATTTGCTAATTAGGAGCCGTGTGAACACCGCGCCTGAGGTCGACCTCAACAGCAACCGTGTAAAAACAGCCTCAGAGCAAGTTGAATTGCTGGTTTATACAGAAACCGAAGAGCTCACTGATGAAACGGCAGAATGTGTTTATCGATCCCGTACGTCAGAAGATAAGCAGTTCGTTACATTGTTGTAATTGTTATTATCTGGAAATAGCGCAATGGAGACAAGTTCCTCAGAGTAAATGGGAGCCTCGGCTTCCTAGACGAGTCCATCTCGCAAAACTAAGAACCGAATTTGCCATAGTGACGGCTCAAATCAACACGGCTAACTACCCAGGAGCCGACTCCATTTGAAAAGTAGACATAACATCGACCATCTTTCCTCGTAGATTCTGCAGATGTGCGCTGCTGGCTGTCTTTTTGAGCTACGGTAGATATCGCAGACTTTGAAGAACGAGTTAATATAAATTATTCAGAACACGATATTTTTCGCAGGCACAAAGGCCCATGACAAGGGATATTACTGAGCGTCCCAGTCTTGATCTGCAAATCAATGCTCCATAATACCAATGTTAAGATTTAGGAACTTACAAAACTACAATGGGTCGACCCAGATTTTCTAATATCGGAACTTACTCTGCACTCTGCGAAGCACAAAAGTAAATGAATTATGAAAATCAGGAAATGATAAAAAAATCAGATCGGGCAAACTGTAACTGGAATGTTAAATTTGGCGCAAGTGTGTAAAAGCCTCGTAACACAGCTGGGAATGGGCGTGTTGCACGATCGTGTTTTGGAGCTGCCTGGCCGGCGCACAGGAAAAGCCGACGTAAATCGAAAGTGAAATTGTGCGAGTGTTAATAGAGCTTGTTCTAGACACTCAACGGTGACGATAACGGTGATGACTCACCACAAATTTATCGTTTTCTTGCTCCTACAACATCGTTACGGTTGTTGTGAACACGATAAAACACCATGCTATCGTAGTCCCTTCCCGGTAGCTCCCAGCTTCTAACAGAGGTGGCAAACTACCGTTGTGCCACAAGAAACTAGCACAAGAAACATTCCTCTATTTTTTAAAATAATTAGAAGAGCAGTTACTACAAAGAAAACGTTTCAAAAGAATTTTTTGCGAGCAAATGAAAGATCGGAAGAACCGGGTGTGTTCAAACTGCAACCCCATAAGCGGCTGTCACGTCTCTGCACATCCACTTCAGTAATTTTATTTATAGCGAAACCGGACCGAGCCCGAGCCGACTTCTAGTCTATCGTAATCGTTGTGCTCAGCGAACAAGCAAACTCTCTTACGATGGCGATTACTGTCACGGTAACCGATCGTCATCGTCACCGTGGTGTATCTAGAACAAGCTCTAATAACTTAGTATCTACGATTTCGCGTAAAAAACCATGGCACTAACATCGGCAAGTCCGGTATACTGTGGAATGTCCTCAACGGCATGTATGAGCAGTCGTCGCCCTTGGAAGTTCAGCACCACATTGACGTCCCAGCACACTGGCGTCATCCACGGCAGCGGTGCCTGTGGATACAACGCCATGCCGAAAGGTGTGGTGACGTGGCACATTGCATCATGCATGGGCGCACCGTTGTAGCGGGCGATTCCGTAATAGTTCAAAAGTTCTGCTACAGGCACACCGATGGTCCTTAACTCCTCCGCACTGTAACTGTCAACAACACGTGCCACTCAATACTAGGCGGGCTGGACTTCGCGGATAAAAAACCAGCTTACGATGGTGTTGCAGTCCGGTTGATTTCCCATTGTGCGGGATTGGCTGGCAGCATGGCTAGCAGGTCTTTGGCAGATTTCCGACCCATGCCCGGGATGTCCATCATCACGTTCAACTAAGCAAAGCCGGAGCAAGTGAACAGAAATCACATGCCCAGAACAGTTTTTTAAGTGTAGCTACTTTTCCGCTTACACGCAACGCATCACAAACGATGTTGCGTAGGGAATATTTTTCTCTGCATTTCGATGTAAATCAAGTAGAGCTTTATGAGAAAGTTTCAGAAAGCATGAATGAAATGGTCTTGAACTGAATTACTCCACTGAACTGCCAAACATGGGTGTTCGCAAGATGATTTGGCAAAATGGGATTTGGATACTTTCGGGAAAACTCGGCTTGGATTGCTAAGTTTACATTTTCCTGGTCAAGTTATGTTAGGGAATTGTAGAGAAGTTATTTCTCCACATTTTTGGTATGCGAGCAACGGCTTTAATAGCAAACGAAAACAGAAATCAAACGTATAAAACTACGCGTCTGTACTCTGTAATTGAGCTTACATGTACGCTGATACCACGAAGTAATCTGCAATGCGCAAGTGGCGTACAGGGAAATTGCAAGGCCCGCCTGCACGCGGGCAAGGCTCATTAATCTTACAAAATAATATCCCGAAGTTCCATGAAGCGCTATTGAACTGTTCGTACAGCATGAAACCTTGATTTCTTTACCTTGATCTTGTTGGCCAACTTGGCGACGATCTCCCTGCCAATTGTGGTCTTCAGCAGGACGCATTCCAGTTTATGCTCCAGCTTCCAGTCAGCAGACTATTCAAAAAAGCCCATATCAGCCCATTCAAACACACTTCTTCATGATTTGCAACAATAAACTCCGATCGTCTCCTTGAAATTTACAGAATACTTCGCTGATACCACGAAGAACCCAGCAGAGCGAAAATTGTCGATCCTCAAACAAAAAACTGAGGAAACACCTAGTCACACCTGACACGCGACGCTGCAGTAGCGGTGGAGTTTGCATCCTGAACAGGTACGCAGTTCCTGGCTCTTTTGTAGACAGTAGGCACAACGTGTTTCATAGGCGCTGCTGTCAAGTACCCACACCAAAGGCTCGCAGCACATAACAACATCGCCAGCCGTGAAAGAACGGCAGTCAGTGGTCTTTTTTGTTTCCATTCGGAATAAATGGACAATCTTACAGATTCACTATGACACGAATGCAGGAAAACGGAATCCAACAATACCAAATCCAAATTTTCGTAGAACCAGGGATCCACGTAAACACTAAACACGTCCTTGGCGTCTAATGAGCTTTCTGCAGTCTGCACTCTGTAACATCTGTCGCGCTGTCTGCTTGTTGTACGGAGCAGCCGCCCTCGGTGGCTGACGGTGCAGATTTCAAGCATTTCCGATGGAAATGATCAATTTTATAGATTCCTTTTCCCCTTATTTTTGTATTTTCCATGGCTGGGAGGCATTTGCAATGGGGAGCATCACTCGAACTTTAAAGAATTATAAAATTTTTGGACTTTGATTGATCTGGTGGCCATAAGCGGCTTCATCTTGACTACTGAAAACAAGAAGTCGCATCTAGTTTATAGTAGAGGCTGAGCTAGTTTTCTTGAATGTAGTCATTTCTGAATTCACGATAAATACACCAGTACGTACGCTTTACTGCTTTTGTGTTCCTTGCTATCACATTAATTTTTGGAGTAGTTTACTTTTAGTATTTTGTAGTTTCTAGCCGCATAACGCTGATTACGCGTCCCAAGGGGAAACCGCATACCACTAAAAACGCGCGGCCAGTCGCGTGTGGATGCGTTGATGCGCATGACCGGCCGCGTGTACCTGTTGTTCATGCTGTTGCATAGCTAACTTTCATCTTTCATGGGAAGTGCATCGATAGTCTTGGGTGGTATGTTGGAAAGTGTGATAACGGAGTGGAATGTCCTTGGAAATGTTGTGAACTGAATACAATGGCATGTGACTAGACGGTCTTATTTTCTAGCAGTGTGTTTTTGGCGGAAATGATGGAATCATTCTCACTTTACGATCTGATCAGAATACAGCTTGCGGTATTAAACGACTAAACATCGTTGTTGCGGGATATCGTAAGGTCATAGACGTAGCCGCGTGTATACGGGCGTAACATGGTAATGAGTAATCTTCACAGGCCCCGCACAAATTGTACGAGAAATATGGATGATTAGTTCAAAGCAAATACATATCTGATACCGGTGAAATAGATATTTTACTAGTTACGAGTCTGTGCAAGTAAGGGATAATATCTAAAGACGTGTACGATCAAGGAAAGCATGACCGCGTTAAACTGCGTTCTGGCTGACGGCATCGCTAGCTTCGAACACGCACACAGACATTCTTTTGCCGACAAAGTCGCTCATCTAGAAAACCCAACCTCCGTTTTTCTTCAAAACTATTAAATGCCTGATACTTAGGTAATGGGTACAACTACGATTATGCTAGCACCCAGCAAAACAGAAATGTGACATAATTTTTGTATCCAGTCCAGTTACAGTGTTTGTTACGTTCTATGTGGACTGTGGGTGTACGAAAAATAATCACAATCATTATTATTTTAGGTTGACAAAGGATGTAAGGTAAAGCAACTAAGATCAGAATTTGTAAACTCGAGCCAAGTCAGCCAACACCGAATCCGGGATCCCTGTGTCCTTATTAACTCGACGCGAAACCGTTAAGCGCTTGCAGTAAGATGTACAAGTAGGTCCGGATGAAGAGCGCGATAGAAAACAGCGAAAAATTTAAGTTCATGGGTTATGCCAATTGTAGTGTAGTGGCCACCGTCTTTTAAGCGCTATCATCGCACTTATTGTGCATTAGCTGTACTTTTACCTTTACGTGCTCTAACTCCGGACCGGCCTGTAATTCTGGTGATTATTCGTTTGTGGCTCGAAATTCAGTTGATGAAGTGTTTCACTCCGCAGCCATCTGACCATTTAAAAGATTAACAACCTCTCCCGAGTTCCAGAGCGGCTGAGGTTGCGTCTGTTTCAGCAGTGTTGCAACCAACATTGCAGGGCGCAGATCCACAACAGACACTAATTTATTATTGACTGTCTGTCCATTACAGGAAGTATGCCACTCGTTTGACGTTAAGGCAAGAATTTGTGTATGCATAATCATAAGTTAAATAAGTTAAGGTCAGATGTGTAAAAACATAATCAAAATGAACAAAAAGTGAAGTCTTTCCGTTTAATCAATGCATACAGACTTGAACGAACAGGTCATGGATGGATATGGATTGACATAAATGAATTTACATGTTTCACTCCCCGGAATTTTCGTTGCTGGATTTATCATCGTGATGCGTTATTATTCCGCGGCTGCTGAGCACCAGTTCTGCATGCAGTGCGACAAGGCCTGTAGGCAGAATCCATTCAGTTTCTTCACGTCTACTCTAGCCATATTGTCCACACTCCATTGGAAGTCCCGATAATGTGCCGCCGCACGCGGATCACAAGACTGGTAGTCTTCCAAAATCTGCAGATTAATTCAGCAAGTTACGCACTTTTCACCCCCGAACATTTCTGTCTGTCCAGAACCAGAACATTATTGTCTGTCCGATTTACCAGAGTCCTTTGTTAGAAATGCTTCGGTTTTTCTCACATTTTGGCCACCTTAAGTACTAGTATGCGTTTTCTTATTTTGCTCCCCGGAAGCAAACCAAATGAAGCGCGCGACTCGCTTTCTGGTGTGTTTCCCACTGCTCTGTTATTACGCCAGGTAAAACGAAAGAAACTGTTTAGAATTCGAATTTTTGAATTTCGTTAATATGCGAGACCGGATGTTTCGAAGTGCACCCGGCCCAGGTCCTGTTATCTATTTTAACTTTCCGGAAATTTATTATGTTTATTATGCTTTGAAATTCATGTACTAATATTCATTACTGTTAACTTCGTCTTCTTAAGAAATTTTAACTCATGGCGGCCCATTTGAGAAATATATGCTTCACGTAGCCAAAATATGAAAACAATCGAAATATCGATTAAAATTTAAAATCTTAGTTCGAAATAACACGCTGTATGTGAGGCACTAGCTAGCTGGTTCTAGAGGTAAGTCCAACGCGATTGAACGCCACATTTATACCTGCAGCACGGTTTCGGCCTTCACTGCGCTGTCGATCCGATTGGCCACGAAATAGGCAATGCCCTGCACATCCAGCGGCGGCCCCTCCCAGCGCAGATGCTGCTCCAACAGGTCCGCAACATACGCCTCACTGACGCGCCCCGCCGTGAAGACAGTCCGGGGAATGTGGATGTTTATCAACGGCACTCTCTCCTTGTCCACCAGTTTGAGGGTGTACGTTGTCCATATCACACGATCACAGCACGAGACAAGCTGGGAAAGGCGTGCGGCGGTCGTGCCTAACAGCGCGCTGAACTGCCATCGTCCATACGGTTCGGACATCGGAAATTCCAGCGAACACTGGGCAACGATCAGACGACCCAGACGCAAGCCGGCCGCGTCCAGAACCTTCTGAATACAGGTCAGTGGTTCTTCGATCCTTTCCCCGTCGAAACTGTTACGACGATACTCGTCCATGTCGCGGATGGAGAGCGTGCGGGTGGCGGGCGTAATGTGCTTGAAGATGCAGGCGTACATGGCGTAATTAAGCGTCCACTGCACTTTGTAGGGACTGCTCCGTAGTTCCCGCTGCATGTGCACGTCCTGGCACAGCTCCGCCGACGTGAGAAGGGCATCCCACAACGAGCAAGCCCGGCGGCAGCGCTGTCGGTCCACGGTGTCCAGTGAGTGAAAGATCTCCTTCAGTACTTCCAAAGACACCACCAAACCACTTCCACAGACACCCAACGGCTTCGTCCGCTTCAGCTCACCATCGGTGTCCGACTCTTCAGGTGTCTTGAGTAAATTGTGGCGGTAACTGCTGTAGCTCTCGTATCTGTCTTCAAACTCCCTTCCCTATAATACCGGATGCGAGAGGCGTCAGCATTAAGAGGATGTGCTAAGTATAAGTGATAGACAAGAAACAAGCGAGAATGATAATTATTTTCTCTTTTTTCATATGTTTTCATATGTTTCGCTCTTTATATCATTTATTGATGATTCCCAACCAGCCGGTCACCACAGGTTGACGATCCACGCATTCTGTTGCGAACAGCACTACTCTTTAGACGCAGTCACGCAAATGATGACTTTAAACACAAAATTTCTCGTGCATTTTGTAATATACCTATTCAACCAATATTTCACAAGATAACAAGAACAAATCACAAGAATTTGGATACCAAAGAAGTTATTATGATTTTATAGCGAATAAAACAAGCTGTATCGTTTCTCGTAGACATATTATAAGGTTTTTGTGTGGTACTTGGAACCCTTAACCTAGAATTCTGGGCTGTCTTTGAGAAAATAAAAAAAAACGAACGTTGGAAATGTACATTATTTTTTGCGCTTAGATGTTGCACGAAGCGGACATGGTTATCCCTTTTCGCTTGTTTTCTTGTCCAGTACGGATATTTGGCACATCCTGGTACTCAAGATCACTAAGCCAACATTCATCAAGAGACCTACCGCTATGCCGTCCCACAAGGAAGAAGCCCGACGGCGTCGCAGATAATACATCTTCTTGCTCAGAATATTCACGAAATGCAGGTTGAACAATTTTTTAATTTGCTGGAGCAGCAGCGCCGCGGCCGACCGCCTCATAACCCAGTAGCCATTGGGAACGTTGCACGTATTGATGATGAAATGGCCCGCGGGAAGGATTTCTCGTTGATTCCTGTATCCCTCCAGAAGGCGAATCTGCCGCCGGGGAAGCAGCTCGCGTCGACACTGTCCGTCCATCTTCACCTCCACCAACGCCACATCATCCAGCAGCCGAAAGGACGGAGTCAACACTTTTCCGCAATGCCATCTCCAGGTTCGATCGGGGCCGTCGTGCAGCAGCACCTCCACATCCTCTCCCTCGCTGGGGCTTCGGGGTCGCTCGCAATACCACGGGACGAAGCAGTCCCAGACCTTCCCGTGCGGGACCAGCACCGACTGCAGTTTCGCGCTGCCGAAATCGACGATCAGACGCGGCGGTGTGGTGTCGTTCTCTGGTTTCTCTTCCAGGCCGATGACGCGGCCGTGCTGCAGTAGGCCGTCAATCTCCACGGCCACCGCGTTCCACGCGTCCACTAATCGTCCACCAATCTCGTATAGGTGCATTCCTGTCAGTGTGGCTTCAAAGGCCTACTGTTAAACCGTTCGTATCGGTACGGCAAAAAAATGTTTTCCGTAAGAAAACCAAACAACGTGGAATAGAATAAAAGCAGTTGAGCGACACGCAGTGATGGTACCAATAAAATTCACGGACTCAAATTCAACGAAAATTTTTATGTAGAGAAATACTTAAGTAACAACTGAGCGCTGTCAGCTACAGCTGGCAACAAAAGTAACGTAATCGCTGTTATCAGAGGCAGTATGGCGACTGTCGAGCCGCCGGTATAAGAAGGCAGTTAAGTACTTTTTATTTCGATCCTTGAACTCGTTTACGTTGAATGTTTTCCGCACTTGCCTTTTTGTTATTTGATAAAATGGAATGTAAAATAAGTTCGATATGTTACACAGTGGCAAATGAGAGGGGGGGGGCGTGGCTCAAGGTGCAACGGCCCCCGTAGCCTAAGGATTTGGGTACATCAGCAACTCAGCAATGCATTAATCAGGTGACAGAACTTATCAAAAGATGCATTTTAGTTTTAGCAGTTTTAGCCTGCAGAAGACAAAGTACGGGCAACCAGAGAAATGCGAGCGAAGGTATGCATGAGACATACCAATGATCGACAGAGACGACGGACGTGTCGGTACGATCGGCGCTGATGTTCCAAACGGTTGGCAATGAGCTTCTTAGGAGAAAACTGCTAATATCAACATTTTCGTCTCTGCTATCCCTGACCAGGACAAAAACGCTTCTGTTATAAATTTTGTTTTTGATACTTATCGTTAGTTTGTATCGGCAATAAGATACTCATTAAAAGGTACATTTTTTTTAGCAGAGCATGTTTAAATGTGCTACCGGTACCTTGCCGGGCAACGGTTGCGCTTTTGCGATGGACCAAGAATTCGAAACGGAGTGGCCCAGCGAATTTGTACAAACCATGGGTCGAAATATTCGTGGATCGACTGGACAAGAGCGTTGTACTGCTTTTCTTCAGCGATGTGTAAGTTTAAGAGAAGCGTTACGGCTTTATTAAATACATCTCTTGTAAATACTTTTTAACCCACGGGAAGATAAAAATTTCGGTTGTTTTATGATGTTTAAATTTGAATTGTGAAGTGTGTGCCCGCGTCTGCAACTTTTTGTTATTTTGTGGCTTGTGCCGAAATCTCATAAAATTGTGCTTTGTGACATAAGCAGAATTAACATTATATTCTCGAGAATAAGTCTGTACGTTTCTATTATACCAATAGTGCCCCAGCGCATCACTTGGCGTTGCCGTGGTGCCTGTTGTCCCTTGCGGCAAGGATTCTTGGAGGTAATTTCTCAAGACCTCATTGAAAAGAGCGTAGGACCATAGCCTGTTTAGTCCGCTTGCATCCCCCTGAATTTCCCCGTAAACGATCGTGGCCGGAACCAGTCCCACTCGTATGAATATTCGGCAACCCACGTCTTTAGAACGACTGCTGTGTGCCGTCCGCCCGTGGATCTTGGTACAGGCGACCCCCATCTCATCAGCCACAGCGGGTCTACGGAATGGACAATGTGCAGCGTTCACAACGCTATGATCTCGGTGTGCATGTAAAAAGCATTCACGGGCTAAAAACCGCGGTAGAAAAGCCAGTGCCGACAGCAAATGAGCTTCGGGGAAGCTGATAACACATTTTTTGTACAGGAAGCCGCTGGATCGTCGGAAAAAGCTTTCACAATCGCCAAGAGCCGGCAGCTCCTCGACGAACTGTTGCCGGTGACCAATGTGGTGGCCGGCTGGTGGTGAAGCGGGATTGTCGCTAGTCAGACGGACGATGTATGTAGAACAGGGAGTTCTCATCACGGAGAAGCTTGCCGGGCCGAATAACCATCGGCTCGCCAACGGTGCGGCGCAGTGCCACCAGCGAGTCCTCCGGTATAGGTGGCGATGCGACATGATGCGGCCAAAGATGGTGAGAGTGGATCCATTGGGCGTTAATCGTGCTGGCATCAAAGTCGACGAAGAAAATGTCGCCGTCAGTATCCTGAACATATCCCAGCCACCATTGGCCGTCGTCCCGCTGCACTAGCACCGTGTTCCCGTAGTTCAGTTCCCTCGATCCAGACATTAATTGACGATAGTAGAGGGCTGTTCCGTCCATGATATACTTCTGATAGCAGAAACTTAAAAGTAGCAGATCTGTATGGCGAGAGTTCGCGAATTATTAATTTTGCGTTTGTCGAGCGGCAAATAAAAACGGTACCGAAGCACTATAACAGTGACGACATCCAGATTCATGAAGAACATAAGCGGCTAGAGAAATTTGAAAAAAAAATACCAGGAAGTAATCGTAATTGGTAGCAGCAGCGAATTCCATCTGTAATGATCTGTTAAACGAAAATAAAAAATGGAACCAAGAAAATCAGAAACGCAGACTTACCAAATCGGCAAAAATGTTGACGACTGTGCCGTAGACTACAGGAAAGACAACTACTACACGTGTCATGTTGTTAGTAGACTATATTCATTCAAATTCTGAGCGCGCTAACCAACTGAGAGAATTAGGTAATGCTAATGATAGGTATCATAGATTACATGTCCAGTGCGGCTTACGGCATACTGTACACCAGGGCAGCGATTCTAGCGACAATTATAATTTATTGGGTAAATGCTGTCAGTACATACATATAGAAAGGGCGCAATCGCGTAATACTGCTAACAAAGGGGGTTTAACCTTTAATAAGTATCAAACACAAGCACGCACTTAGACAATAAGAAAGTTTATAATAAAAACACTTCCTTCAAGTTCCTTGTTTGCCACTTTTGCCCTCCCATCGGCATCAGGCACTCTTTCTTCAGAAGAACTGCCTGTCTGTCCCTAAACTGATGCACATTTTACGAACGGTCCACTCAGTTTCTGAAGCAGAGAATCAGTGTTGCTTTAATTTTAGGTAAAGCTGCTTGAGTTCAGGAAACGTTTTGTATCGGTTAGAGACTGGACGAAGTGTATTATGTGTTGAAATGATGAACTGCGTATTTTTGCTTTTAACCTACACGTATATTAATGTGAATAACCCTAAGAAATAATACTTCCTCAATGCTGTCCTGGTCAGTGATTGCACCCATCACACATATCGCGTTTCCTCTCTGTATTCGAATGGATAGCCGATGCCTAAAAAACTCTTTCGCCCGTTTTTGGGCTGTGGCAGTTGCTATGCCGTTTCCAATCTTATCCACTTCTTAAAATATTTCAAATTCAATCGTTCAAAAACACCAAAATCGTCCGACATTTTATTGCGAAAATTTAGAGGACCCACAACCATCAGCACTTGCCTTAAGTTGCCAAGCGCGGCACAAAACCGAAACCGTGACAGCCCAAGTGGTAACGGGACATTTCGTCGCGTGGGACATTTCGCCACAAGTTTCTCGTCGCACTGGTTAATTTGTTTTGGACAACTCGTTTCGCAGCTGTTTCGTTGTGTGGCATTTGGTCGCACGACTTTCGGGAGTCGAACAATTGTCGCCTGGTTTACGACAACGATCAGCCACAAACAAGTTGTCTTTAGAGACGAAATGTTCGTAGAACCAAATGGCCCGCGACGACATGTCGCGCAGCTAAAGAAACTCGCTTTGCTTTGTTATTAAGCAGGCTGATGGTAAACAACCGGGAACAATTCGGATGGACAAATATAGCCGGCATTACTGCACGAAAAAAGGCGCATGGTTAGTCAATTTTTGTATACATTTTTATTTTGTACAGTCTATATTCATATGTAATATACGGTTTTTTTGTTCCATTTTTTTCAATAAAATTATTTATTCATTTTGGTTATTCTTATTTTAATTTTTAATTAATTTCTATTGAACTGTGCTGATATCCGCAATATTGCGATATGATATCTACGAATCATTTTTTCGGGGTTCTTATGGTAACAACTTAATAAACGTACTGCTTTCCTGAAAGTCTTGTATAGACCACAACAGGAACAATAAAACATTTCTGCGGCAATTTAGTTTTCTTGACCATTTAACAAACCCAAAAAAAATCGTCAGAAGTACGCTAGGACTGGAACGAGCCAAGTCCTAATTAACTTAGAGTACATAGATTATTAGTCATGCGTAATTCAAGCCGATTATCCCGTTCTACTGTATGCCGTGAAAGTAGGAAGCGTTCGGTAAAGGTCAGTGAACGGCAAAACACAGATTAATGAGCTTCGAAGTTCTGCACATGCAGTATTAAGCAATATTATAGCGCATGTTGAAACATTAATCTACCAAGAATTTTGTGCTTAAAAATTATTGAAAAGCGCAGAAACGCGCTTGGGATACAGTATTATATGGTAGTACGGTAGTTACACACAGGTCCGACGCGAGACCCCGCTAAATTTTCAAAACGCTACTACTCCTACATATTTCTTCGCGCATTTATTCGGAATGCGCCATTAGGCTCGCCGTAAAATTCTGAACTAAATGGTTGAGACCAATTTCGAGCTACAGATCATGCGCAATTTGCGCGCGATGTGCAGGTCAATATTGCATGATGTTGCACGAAAACCGTGTCGCTTATTTTGACATGATTTATGATGAACCAAATAAAAATGGACAGTACAGATACTGCCTGACCATAAAATTAATATTTACTGTCATTTTTTGCAGCTTTTTTCAGGGAGCCTTCGTGATTAACGGTTGATCAACA